CCCCGCAGTGTGTATGTGGGTGCACATGTCATGGTTTGAGTGTGAGGTCAGAAGACAACTTTGTAGAATTGGTTCTCCTTCCATCTTTATGTAGGTTCCTGGGATTGAACTCGGGTTGTCGGACTTTCGAGGCAAGCAGCTTTCCCTGCTGAGCCAACTTGGTGGCCCTTGATTTATTCATTGTAGCCTACACTGTCCTCAAATAGGCATATGTAGCAGAGAATGACCTTAAACTTGCCTCCACTTTCCAAGTCCTGGGGCCGTAGGCACCCACAAACATGCCCAGCGTGTGTGTTGCTGGAGACTGAACCCAGTGTTTTGTGAGTGCTAGAGTGTGCATGCACTCTGCCAACTGAGCTACATGCTCAACCCCGGTGCTAGAGTCGTCAGAGGAGGGACCTCGTCTGAGAAAATGCCTCTGTAAGATTGGGCTGTAGTCAAACCTGTAGGGTATTCTCTTAATTAGTGATTAATGTGGGATTGCCTTGCCCATTGTGGATAATGTCACCCCTGGGCTGACGGTCCTGTGTTCTACAGGAAAGTGGGCTGAGCAAGCCACGAGGAGCAAGCCAGTAAGCAGCACTCCTCTGTGACCTCTGCATCAGCTCCTGTCTCCAGGTTCCTGCCCTGGGTTCCCAGAGTTCCAGTCCAAACATCCTTCAGTGATGAACAGGGCTGGGGAAGTGTAAACTGAATAAACCCTCCCACCCACCCGAAGTTACTTTGATTACGGTGTCTCATCACAGAAATGGTAACCCTAACTAAGACAGCCCTTATTTTAATTTAAAAAAATATTTACTTTTAATTATGTATCTGTATGTGCATTTGAGTGCCAGGGCCGGAGGAAGCATTGGATCCCCTGAGGCTGTAGTTACATATAGGTGGTTGTGAGCTGCAGCTGTGGGTGCTGGGAACCTTCCCAAGCTTGGAAAAGTCCTTTGTTTTTCCATAAGCCCTTTGAAGGATTTGTAGGGTGGAGATTCTGTCTTTTGTTTTTCTTTGAAATTATCTTTCTAGGGGCTGGAGAGATGGCTCAGTGGTTAAGAACACTTATTGTTCAGTTCCCAGCACCCTCATGGTGGCTCACAGTCATCTGTAACTCCAGTTCTAGGGGATCTGATGTCCTCTTCTGACCTCCTCAGGCACCAGGCATGCATGTGGTACACATACACACATTCAACCAAAACACGCATACAATGAAATAAAGTGAATTTAAACAAGAAATGTTTTGGCCTGATCTGTTACAGAGCTTGTGTTGCAAGAGAAAAGAACGGTGACAGGAAAAGGGAGGAGGAAGTGGCATTGGAGGGCTCTTCCCGGCACTCAGGACAGGCTGAGGAGAGGGCAGGCTGTTCTGGAGAGCTGGGAAAGGGGAGGCAGGTGGGGCTGGCAGGGCTTTGCTTACATTTCCTATCAAAGCCAGCTAAGGAAAGGCTAGTACTCCCTGGTACGCAGAGCTCCTTTATGAGTTCATTTTTACTTCCCTCTGTAATTTCTAGCCTGTTCTGTTACAGAAAAACTTCATCCAAATCAAGTCCATCTGAGTTTATTTCTGTCTCCAGCCATGACAGGAAGGAAGGACCGTAAAGAAAGCTGGTTATTACAAATCTGGATTACATCAACTTTTCTCTTCCTGGTTGAGAAGGACGTTGGAGAGTTCCCTTCAGGTTTAAGCAGCTCACTGTGCTGAGTCCAGCTCTCCTGCTGCCGGGAGCCAGTTTCTGTAGGCTAGATGTACACAGACTGCTCTGAGCCCAGAGCATCCTTCAGGTCCCGTACCTTCAGTGTAACCGGACCACAGCCTCTCAGATGCTCCTGCTACTCCTTCCGTGGCTCCTGAGCAGTTCACATAACTGACTCTCCGTCAGTCAGTTCAACCAATCTCTTATTAGTTGGCCTGGTCTGAGGCAGTTTCCAAAGCCTCTACGGATCATCATCCAGCCAGTGGGGATAATGCTGCCTCCTGCTCACTGGATGTGGGAAGAGCATCATGAGATAATGTCTGTAGAACAGAGGGCCTGGCAACTAAATGTGCATGTGCGCAGCTCTGCTGAGGCGGCATGGCTGTCCTCTGTAAGATTCCCTAAGACCTTGTAGATAACATGCAGAGCCCACACCATGCCCCGTAGTTCACAGTGATGAGGAGTAGGAATTCTCTTCTGCCCAAGGCAGCGTGCGCCTCTCCCTGACTTGAGCGATGATAGTCTTCCCATCGGTAGATAGGTGTTGCTCTCCTGGTTGTCTTCTGTGCTTTCTTGAAGTCTCGGGTCCTTTGTCCTCTCTTCCTTGTTCCCTTGCAGTCCCAACAGTACACAGCAAAGAGGACTTGTTCTCATGGAGAATTTTCCTCTGGAGAGGTAAAGAGGCCTCTAATCTCAGCTGTCAGTAGTGAATGCCCACAAATCCCTCTCGTGCATTTGTTCATGTGGTTGTACTCATCCCAGGACTTATCTTGGCAAAAGGAGCTGTTTTCAGCCACCTTGCTCATGCATATCTTTGCTTTGCACAAGACTGTCTGCTTCTCTGATAATCGTGGTTAGATTTACCAGCTCGTTGCTGTCTCTTCCCTGGGTCCCTGGGAACTAGTAAAATTCTTTCTGGGTTTGACTTACCAATGTACTTTTATATGTATACGGGTGTTTTGCCTGCCTGTATGTCTGTGCACGACTTTTGTGAGCCTGGTGACCACAGAGGACTGAAGAGGGTGTCAGATTCTCTGGAATTGGAGTGACAGACAGTTGTGAGCCACTGTGTGTATGCTGAGAATTGAACCTGGGTCCTCTGGAAGAGCAGCCAGTGATCTTACCCGATTGGCCATCTCACTAACCTCTGGATTTCATCTTTTTCAAATAAATGAACCACCTTACAGATCTTATCTTAGGGTGCACAGAGATCAGCTTGACATAACTGCAGCCATGTTAAGTCA